ACGGTGAAATTCCGCTCTCTGTGTGCACGTGGAAAGTTACGATCCTAATTTTCCGGTAGATTTTACTCGAATTTCCCTCTGCATTTTCTTGTCTTCTTTGTGTTTTACACTCTGGGTCGAAAAAGACCCAGTCTTCTCTATGGTTAACTCTCGCCGGGTCAAAAAAGACCCAGTCTTCCTTGTGTTTAATCCTTTGGCTCAAAAAAGACTCGATGATCTTGTGTGTAACAATTTTTATTATCAGCACGATACACGAACCTAGATAATAAATTAGGTAAGGAAACATGAACTTGATAACAACAAAAGTTATTTAAAAAAAAGGAGATGGGTCAAAAATGACCCGACACCGGACCACGGTTGATTTACTTACATTTTCTTTGCCCTTGGATGCGTATTTTTTTTATTTTCTTCGGGTGTGATTTTGTTGTTCTTTTCCCCCTCGACTTTAGGTTAAAAATGTATCGGTATAGTTTTACTGTGCGAGATAAATTGGTCAGAGAAAGACGTGAAATCTGACAACGCTCGCGTCGTAAATCCAAGCTGAGCCTCGGCTCTTCGACGTTCAAACGCGAAACACTTAAAGCAACGCGTACACAGAGGCGAAACGTCGTAGGAAATCGGAGGGAAGCTATTCGTCGACGGATCGTTTCGCGGTTGTTTTCTCGTTAGACGCGCTCCACGTGTCGAAAGCTCGTAAGCACCGCCATTGGAACGCGTGAAATTGGTAGTTTCGTCGTACGAGCGACAGCCGACGAGAGGAGAACGCGAATCACTGGTCTACCTTTCACCCTCTTTTTTTACCTCCCTCTTTGTCTCTCCTTCGAATGATTTTTAATCGAGAAACTCGAACAGCAGCCGGTCTGTCTGTTAATTTCCCTCGAACGAAAACGAAAAGTGAGGGAAAAGGCTGTCGGTTAATTTCCCTCGAACGAAAACGAGAAATCGGGGATGAATTCGAGGGAGAGTATTTCGAAAATTGAGGATAAAACGAAAAGGAAAAGAAATAATTTCGATATTTTCCTTCACAAATTCGATAATTTGTAAAGAAAATATGTGTGGGCAAATTTATTAATCCTACGGTATGAAAACGATACACGAGATTTGATCGTTTATTTAATAAAATCTGATAAATTTTGCATTTTATAACGAACGATATTTCGATATTTTCCAATTAATGTACGAATTTATTTGCAAAACTGATCAAATTTTGCATTTTATGATGAACGGGATTTTGCGTTTTATAATGAAAGTTTACGCCATGGCCAATGGCATTTCCAGTTCCGTAAAAAGAATATTTCTCTTTACTCCAAACTTTCCCGGTAAAATCAGGTGAAACAATGTTCCGTGAAAATGCCATTCGAAAAACTACTTTCTCTCGGAATTCTTTTTGCTTCTTTCAATTCGATTAAGATCAAAAGAGTATAATAATATCGTTTTCCCGGAACAACCGTTCCATTTTTCACCGAAATTTTCCTCGCTGCAAAGTAGATTAAAATACCATCGACCAACGATACACGGAAAGACAAAAAGAAAAATAAATTCAACGTTGTTCCTATGTATGTGAATGATCCTTTTTCAATCATCTACGAATTTTCCATTGAATTAATTGCACAGCGATACTGAGCAATTGTAACGCAATACAGACGGTCATCGCGCAGTACGCGTGCACCGCGTCAATAAAGTTTCGCTTTACACGATAGAGTGGCCTGCCATAAAGCTAGGTTTTCACCGGCTCGCGTTACGCTTCGACTTCCTTCGATACGCATTTTACAACCTGAGTACATACATACTCTGTCAGTGTCAATCGCGAACCTTGGGAAGTAATTCTCTTTGTTCATCATCGATCGTTCGTGTTCGAGATTACCATTTGGTTAATGTTTTGGATTTCTCTATTTCGCTTCGTATGATACTTCATGCGTCAGAAATACCGGACCAACTCTGTTCTATTTTTTTATCTTTTTAGATTTTCTGTCGTTGATCGATGGATGAGTAGGGAAATCTGAACCCTTTCACTGCGGAAGACTTTACTTTTGCCTCTTTACTTTCTTTATTCGTTCATTTTTGGGGTAAATTTAGGATCGATAGTTAGGAATTCTTAACCCTTTTACTGCGGAAGATTCTACTTTTCTCTCTTTTCTGTTTTTATTCGTTAATTTTTGGGAGCAATTTGTGATCGATAGATGAGTAAGAAATTCTTACTTCCGCTGCGGTAGATTTTAGGCAGACAGTAAAGGTTTATTAAATTAAGGTGGAAGTGTACCAAGAAATTTTTAAGACGCCTATAGGTACCAAGAGCGAAGAAAGGGTTAAAGAAAATAATCGTCTCAAAATTTGATTTATCAAATTAAGATGGAAGTGTGCAAAGGATTAAAATTAAGGTGGAAGTGTACCAAGAAATTTTCAAGACGCCTATAGGTACCAAGAGCGAAGAAAGGGTTAAAGAAAATAATCGTCTCAAAATTTGATTCATCAAATTAAGATGGAAGTGTGCAAAGGATAAAATTAAGGTGGAAGTGTACCAAGAAATTTTCAAGATGCCTATAGATATCAAGGGCGAAGAAAGGGTTAAAGAAAATAATCGTCTCAAAATTTGATTTATCAAATTAAGATGGAAGTGTGCAAAGGATAAAATTAAGGTGGAAGTGTACCAAGAAATTTTCAAGACGCCTATAGGTACCAAGAGCGAAGGAAGGGTTAAAGAAAACAATCGTCTCAAAATTTTATTTATCAAATTAAGATGGAAGTGTGCAAAGGATAAAATTAAGGTGGAAGTGTACCAAGAAATTTTCAAGACGCCTATAAATACCAAGAGCGAAGAAAGGGTTAAAGAAAACAATCGTCTCAAAATTTGATTTATCAAATTAAGATGGAAGTGTGCAAAGGATAAAGCTGAGGATTAAATTAAAGTGGAAGTGTATCCAGAGATTTAAAAAATGCCAAGTAAGAGTAATGAAAAGGTTAAAGAAAATACTGTAATTCAGTCACGAAAGGGTTAAAAATTCCCCTCAAGAAAAAATCACTCTTTCTACCCAAAGAAACACATTTTTACATTCACTTCACCGCGTCGAATGAGCGAAACGCATTAAGACGAGGCATTAACGCATCCGAATATCGAAAATGAAATTAAACCGTTTGCAAGAAATCTGCGCGGAGAAGCCGATAACCGCGCGCACGTATTCTCTCCTCTTACCTCATGCTTTCATTCCTGATTACTCTGTTTCCCTTTTTACTGTACCATGCAGAGAGAGGCTCGGGTGAAATTCATGCGTAAATGTACTCTGTATTAATTTGTGACGTTCCTCTTGTTTGGAGAAATGTGTGATTTTCCATGGAAAATATCTGATCGTAACAATATTGAATTACATTTTTTTTTCTATCAAAGTTTCCCTTGATACAAATTTTTTTTATTCCATTTTGCGTGTAACGTGTGAAAGTGTTAATACGAGTACATTGTTGAATGACAATAGAAATACACACGAGTGGAGAGAAAGATGAATGAGAATAGTATTCAAGCCACGGTGTAACTCCCCTGTCGACGATAAGATACGCAAATTTTTCGTATCGCTCATTTTTCTCGCTACATTAAGCTACAAGTATTTGTATGGACAGCGATATCTCGAGTAATAAATGGTCGACTCGTGGAGAGACAGATAAACCCGGGAAGAAGTCGGGATCTTAAGTACTGTGCGTATTATTGAGAGACTCGTTAAGAAATTCTTGCAAAAATTCACGGTAGATGTTCCTTTATATAGGAAAAATGAAATTATTCTGCTTTGAAGACGTGTCTTAAATAAAGCGTCTTTAATTTAGTAAGTGGCTTGTGATTAATTAATAGAAATATTGTACCGTTGTAATTTCCTTCCCAATTCTCTCTATTCGTCGCTGAATCAATTATTTACCCCTTTTTGAGACGATCTTTGAAATTTTAGAGTAATAGAAAGATGGTTGGTAATTTTAATAGTTTCCTTTTTTTATTGTTCTTGTCTTTCTTATCTCGCCTTAGTTAAATAAAATAAATAAAAAGTGAAATAAATTATTAACGCTGAATATTTAAAAACGTTCGAGGATGAATTCCATCTACGATCGAATTTTCTTAATTAAAAAGCGCCTCGATAACGAAACGAAGAACACTCATGCAAAATTAATCGACAAACTACCACAATCGTGAAGTACAGTAAAAAATTGTCGTCACTTCCGAACTCAATAGAAAAATAAATAATTGCAAAACACATTACAAATTCACACCGAGCCATCAATGCATCAAGAGCAAACACTCGACAATCGTCTCAACACAGCTCACATTATCTATCCTACATCGCTGCTCCTTTTCCACCCTCTCAATTAAAATCCTCTCAATTAAAATCCTCTCCAGATAGATCAAGAACCGCGTGCATCAGCCAACGTAAGGCGACTTCTGAAGCGAGCGATCACCGTGGGTAAGGGCGGCTCCTCGTGGTACGGATTCGAGGGCGTTCGAATGCATTTCCTCGCGGGTGAAACCGGAGGAATCGCAAATACGCAGGTACCCGCATAGAGGTTGGGCTGAAGCCGAGATTCCGCGAGTTCTTCGCGGCTGTTTACACGAGATACGGGTATCACCGGGTATTAACTGGGGCGGCGCCTCTCCTCGTGGATATTAATTTTCGAAACGCGTCTAATCTTGCATAATGTGCGCGTGATTAAATAACGTCGCGTTAGTCTCCTCGTACTACTCTTCCCGCTCGAGCTTTCCTTCGTACTTTATCTCACGCTCTAGAGTTGTAGCCCTTTTGTACTGTGTTACGTTGGGGTTATACGTGTAGGTATCTAGGTTTTGTTGGTAGCTTGAGTTTAGTGGAAATGGGAGAGAGTGTGATGAGATGAGATCAGGAACCTTGAGAATTTGAGGAGTTTCAGATTTAGGGTATTTTGAGAGGTCGAGGATGTTGAGATTGTAGAGATCTTTGGGTGTAAGGGTGATTGGGATTGGAAGGGTTTTGGAATTTGGGGATCTTGGAATCATGGGGATTTTGGAATTTAGGGGTGACTGGGATCTCAAGGGGGTTGGAACTTGGGGATCTTGGAATTTTGGGAACTCTGGAAGCTTTAGGATCTTGGAATCAGAGGGATCTTTAGATCTCGAGTACTCTGAAGCCTGTGTGCTTTAGGGACTTGGAAGACTCCGAAATGTAGAGAATCTTGAGGCCTCTGGAACTGTGGAAACACTGAGATATCAGAGGCCTTAGGTCCTAAGGATTCTGAGATATCGGGGATCTTGGGACCTAAGGATTCTGAGATCTTGGGACATAGGGATTTTGAGATATCAGGAACCTTGGGTCCTAAGGATTCTGAAATACCAGGGACTTTGGGACCCAGGACTTTTGAGATATCTGAGGCCTTGGGTCCCAAGGATTCTGAGATATCAAGGACCTTGGGTCCTAAAGATTCTGAAATACCAGGGACTTTGGGACCCAGGACTTTTGAGATATCTGAGGCCTTGGGTCCCAAGGATTCTGAGATATCAAGGACCTTGGGTCCTAAAGATTCTGAGATATCTGAGGCTTTGGGACCTAGGAATTCTGAGATATCAAGGACCCTGAGTCCTAAAGATTCTGAGATATTTGAGGCTTTCGGACCTAAGGATTCTGAGACATCTGAGGCTTTGGGACCTAAGGATTCTGAGATATCAGGGTCCTTGGGACTTAAGGAATCCAAGATCTCAAAGCCCTTAGAAATCTGAGGACCTTGAGAACCTTGAAAAATCTTGAAAACTTGGATATTTTAGGAATAAAACAAACGCCATTCATCTTAGCAATAACGAGCTCAACAAAATTAACAGAGAATAAATTTTCCAAGTATGAAATACGAATAACAAATATTCCCGATAATATTCTAGAAACATGAATCTACACCAAGCTCGAAGAAAATATTGATCCTGATAGCTAATGGGTTAAAGTCACCGAGTCACCGTACAGTACAAAGCCATAAATCTTGATTTTCGCGAGGCGATAAGGAAAATGGATCGAAAAAGTTGTCCCCGATTTACGGAGCAGAGTTTTCAATAACGCACAGCTTGCCGATGTTTCGAAGACATCCTACATAGCATTTTTCATCATCGACGCAAGGCATTACCTTTTTCCTGCATCTTCAACGTTCCATTTACCAAATGTACGTTGAAAACACACCTTATAAAACTACACCCGGCTACCCCTCTTAATACAAACCCGAAAATCGATACCTACAATATATACATCCCACTAACAATCGTTACGAATTAAAACGAACACCGGTAGGGAATAAAAAACTGTCGCATAAAAACGAATCCTTCGATTTTTACACGTGCACAGTTATCCCAGGATATTCCGGCGATCACGTTTTAAAACGCGCCAGGAGTCCCGCGAGCCATTAATTTTAACGATTCGATCCAGGACCAACGGAAATAAAATTACACGACCGCTGCAATAATCCGGCCGCGAAAGGGGCGAGGATCACGCGTTCCAAACACGGCCCTGATTGATACCTAACGCGACAGCCACGCGAATTCACGTTTACATCGACGATTAACGCGATTACCAGACCTCTTCCTCCAGCGAACGTCCGTTTCGGTATTGCCACGTGACGTTAACGTTGCAAATAAAATTATAAAATCGCCGTATTACGGGCTGTTTGCACCGTCAGAAACTTTGGCCTGGCTGGCTGGCTGAGCGTTGCAACGAAATATCCTCCACGCGAATACGTTCCACCTAGACGAATCCAATTCTCCATCGACAGAGACAGAGAAGAGGAGGAAGAGGTGAAAAATGCAAATGTTTCGCGCGCGATTTGTCTACCGACTTCTCTCCTCTTCGAACCGAGAAAATCCCCTGCGAAGAAATCTGCGCGAAAACGCTAGGTGCGCTGCTCCGCGACGTAAAGAGGCTTTCGATCCGCCATACTGTCGCACGGTGACTTAATATCACGGAACGTGAGTATCAGCTTTGGTTTACAACGGTATCTATCCGAGGATGAATATGTTCGCCGGTGGATTTCGGTGATAGAGGCTGAGGTTTGAATTTGGAGGGAGAGTTTTGAGGTTCGTTTGGTTCATTCAGAGTTCTGAAGAGACTATAGGATTCTTGGAGGATTCGTTGATTCGTAATGTGATTTTTGTCATTTCGCTTGCTCTGTGTGCTTAATTATTATTCAATTTTTTCTTTGTCGTTGTTTGAAAGGTTTTACTTCTTGAGATTATAGGATTCTTAGAGGTTTCGTGCGACCGCAATGTGATTTTTATTATTTTTATTTGACCTGTGTAATTAGTATTGATTTTGCTCTTTGTTATTGCCGCAAGCTTTTTAGTATTGCCCTGCAGATTTTGTTTTTATATTTACATGCAGAGGTAGTTTCAGATAAAATAGCAACTATGCATTTTTCAATGTAATTCCTATTATTTTTATCTGTTCTAAGAATTGTTTCCAATTTCTCAGACAATTTTTTAATTCTGGAGTTTATGCTGTTGCCTGATTCTTATTTTTTGGTGCCCTAATTTTGGGCAATCCCAATTTGTAATAAAAATAAGGGAAAAACTACAAAAACTATTCTGTTATACATAAATCATACTTACAAAACTTAATAAAAATACATTACAGACAAGCTACATCCTTCAATTACAATCTCTAACCTAGAACAAAGAAATTAAAAAAAAAAAATAATACCACTATGAGATGTATCCCTCATTCTCAGTCAAAAGCAGTCAATCACTTGATTAATATTAAAATTAAAAGACTTCTATAACTTTCTTTTTTACCTCAAACTTGACAATAAAAATCTTTCGAATTTCCATCTAACAAGACGTCTCCTACTTTCTCCATCAAACAACACCGGGAGCACGCAAAAATCGCGAGGGACGTCCAACAAAGACGATTTCCCCGACGAACGGAGCATCTCGTGATTTACCAGCATCGCCTACTATCGACAGTTTGACGCAAATCCTGGCGCGTGCACGCTTCGAATCGACGCCCCTGGCTGCCGCCATTAACGAGACACGCCGTGTTCGTTGCTCGGTTTCTCTTTCATCGTCGCGGCCAACCCTTTCGCGCGTCACTCGATGAATCATAATTTACGCGTCGTCGTTCGCGGAACAGTTACCCTCTCCAACCTTCCCCATTTCTTTTCCATCCCTGTTCCACCTGACGGGATCGATCCACGACGGACGCGACGCAATTTCGTAAAAACGATCCGGCTGGCCCGCGTGAAAATGCGATCCGCTTGATGGATCGTCGCTTTTTCCACGACGAGCGACCTCACTCTCTCTCTCTCTCGTCCTTTGTCCTCCTCTCTGTCGATCGATTGCACGATACTCTTGCACACATATACACTCTATCTCTCTCTGTTGCGACGACAGCGCGATTAGAGCGACTGGATGGACGCTGCCGTGGAATAGTCTGATGTCGGAGGAGTTTGAATTATGCCCCGAGCACACTTGCAGACATCAGGCGTGCAAGGTTTGCAAGTTGTTAAGGATTGTTTGCGGCCTGTTTTTTGCCAAGAAATGGTAAATATGAGACGGTGCCTGCGGACGAAGTCTATAAATTTATTGCTTCGAGAAATTTAGTAGATTCTCTTTCGGTTTTTGGGCAAAGTTTTCGTGAGGAAATTTGGAAACCACTTTTTGCCGTGTTTACGAAGTTTCTTTATTTTGATTTTTGATTCCAAATTTAGTTTAGAACCTTCGATAAAAATCGGAGAGAATCGAAGAAAAATGGAAATTGGATAATCTTCGACTGAAAATTGAATTTTTCTTTCTTCGCATATACGTGTAAGTCGTGGAGAAAATTACACTCAACGATACGGCTGGAGATTAAAATATTCGCAGGTAATCTATGCAGACTGTCTACAAGTGTGTACAAGGCATTACAGCTAGATTTCAGAAGTTCTTCACCCTTTCTCTGAAAATGGGCAAAATATTTCGACCGAGCCACTAAACAAAGAAGCAGAAAACAGCAGAAGAAGTGTCTTATCATTGAGGTATCGATAGATCTTCAACTTTAATCAGTCCTCTCTTTCTAATCTCCCAGAAAATTCGTACAATTCGCGTTTACTCAGAAACTCCCTGTAACTCACTTTCTCAAAACCAAAAAACCAACTGAAAATGAATTCCAAAATTCTAACCCCACTTTACAGAATCTCAGACATGTTCTCGTTCTCTCCACCAAAAATCGACAATTCTAATCAACCTGAACTTCGAAAAACGTACAACTCTGAAACTTCTTATCGACTCGAATTTAACCCGACGCGATAAACAGCTCTTCTACGCGAAGGCGGTAAGATTTTTCGTGTAGAAGTGCCGGCATTCCAGCATGCTACCGGTATCAACGTTACCGCGCCAGGTCTAATATACGTTTCTTTGGTACGCTTGGCGAAGGAGGCCGGATTCACGTCGGTAATATCTGGGGAAAGGTCGAAGGTTTGCGGAAGCGTATGCAAATGACGCGCGCGGCAGTACATAAAAGCTGGCTTTCAATGGGTTTTTTTGTTACTTTTGTTACTCGTATTTCGATAAACCACCCTTTCGCGCTCTTTTTTCGCGTACGTGCTCGATGGTACGCGCAAATATGTGTGTTCCCATATCTCGCGATACGTTCCTCCCTTGATTTAACCGGATTTATAAGCCCTCATTCCCTCGTATATCACATTGATACATGGGGGGAAAATGTATAAGCACTCTTGCAAAAATAGAAAAGACCACCGCCTCTGCGCGAAATTTATTATTATCTTGGGGTAATTTATCGCGTTCGCGTCGTTCAACCTCGTCCATCGTCGTTGATGTGTCTGACAAATATATGTATGTATGTATAGAAGAAAGTTTATGCACGTTAATATTATCTGCTGTCGCTAGTTAAGATAATGATACTAATTATCAATCAGTGACAATAACCTCGTATTTCTCGATGAAGTGTACGCGTGACGCTTTCGCAACATTTCTGTCGATCGTGTTTCGAGATAAAACGTAAATGAGAAATTTTTAAAATTTAGTTGGAAAAGGTGTTAGCAAGGATTTATCGTATATTGTAACAACTACTTGTTTTCTGTTACTTCGTTTTTCAATGTAACAGAAATTTTGTGGATAAAATGGGTATAGCGGTGTTGCATTTATTCAAAAATTGGCGCCTTTTTCCACTTTCTAGTTTCGATTAACTTTAGAAGTTGCACGAATCAGGTATCTCTTTTTCTTCTTCGTCCGCCTGATTGTGGAAACGAGGTATAGTGCTGTTAAATTTATTATTAACTTTGAAAGTTGCGTGAATCCAGCGGCTATTCATTTTTATTTCACACCGGTGTTCTTTCTTTTTCGTCTGTTTGAGCTAAAAATTTATAAAGGTACTTTATTTTTACACGGTCCAATTCTCACCGGTTGCTGAGTTAAATCTACAATCTTCGTACGCGAAGCAACATTTTTTCTTTAATGTAAAAGTGAGAAGAGAGAATAAAATTTTGTAGAATATTTTTGAAGATTGTCGCGTATAATTTTATATTGTAGAATACATTTGAACATTTTACTCCGGGAAGAATTCTGGGATATTTTATTCGAGTTGCAAGAACCATTGCCTGGACGTATTATGCGACGAATTTTTAATTAATTACGTCTCTTCCACGAATCGGAGTGACACGCGTTTACATCGCGTCTCTTATTAATTTCCAACAGAGATTTCCGGGCGTTATTTTTCCCTTCAGCCGGCCGTGTTTCTAAAAGATTCCACC